TTCGTATTCTGGACTATCCTACACATGTATCTTGTAATAATCTTTTTCCTCCAAACTCTCCCTCCCCTTATTCTTATTTTTTCAGAACCAACACTCCATAAAAACCCTTCCCCTCGAACAGGATCTCAAGATTTGTTAGTCAGACACTATGATTGTGAAGAAAATGAACAAAAAACACTACACAAATACGCCATAAACCAATTAACTCAATGCGAATCCAAAACACAAGAAATAGAAACAACGAATGTACTGGCGAAACTTTATTCAAAAGCCCGAGCTACAACCTTAACAATTGTAAATTCAAAGCAACATTTTCAGAGAAAAATTACAATGTTCCCACGTCTCAAATGGAAACAAAAATAGACTCGATCACGAATCTTTCTATCAAAACAATGGAGAAAGACTTTTACATTTTAATCCTGAAGATTGTAAAAAAAGAGCTTCAACGGTTAAAGTTAACTGCAAATAAAGGCACAAACCGAAAATTGGTTTGTTTTTAAATTTTTCCAGACTCTGCACATCAAGCAGAACTTAAAAAATACGAAGGTCATATGAAATTAGACGATAAATACTCGTTCCACGGCGCACATGGATGATTAACTTAAGATATCTATAATAAAAATTAGATAACACACATTGGAATAAACACACCTTCTAATTATAAATCAGACACAAAAAACAAAGGATATCAAGAAATAATGTTTTTTTTTTATTGGAAAATTCAAATAGAAAACACAAATTACACGAGATTTAAAAGACGACACAATAATTTATCAAGGAATACGATTATCTTGCAAAATTGACCTAGGATATTGCGATACGACAAAAAGAACACAAGCAACTATTGTTTGGTTCCCCGAAGACACATGTACCACATTTCAAGTTGCAAGGATTCACACAAGAATGATAAAATTTTATCAAAAATGTTTTTTGAATCAATACCAAATGAGAAAGTAACCCTGATAAAATCCGACAAAACATATATCGTTATAACAATATCGATGGAATAGAAAATAAATTGACACGTTTTCAAATTTACCCCGAAACAGAACAGACAGAATTTGAACAACTAGCTGAACTCCTACTTAAATACCCAATGGTTTACGCTACATCTACTTCTAAAATTCGACACAATTTTTAAAAAACAACAACCAAATAAAGTTCCAATTCACTTACAAGAGAAAATCAATAGATTACTGGACATATTAGATTAATACGAAATCATTTCTCCAGTAAACAAAGAAGAACAACCAAAAGGAAACACATTCATAAATTCCGTTATTAATCTAGCTAAAGGAGAATCATTAAAAATCGTTTTAGACGCATTGATGAATCTAAATGTAATTGGCCCATTGAATGAATTCAAGTAACTCTCACAAAAAGAAAAGGAAAATACTTTCAAACAGCTGACATGAACAGCGCCTACAATCAATTGCCACTAGATGAAAAATCACGACGCTTAACAGAATTCGTTATTGGAAATCAATAATACGAATATTATAGACTTTTCGATGGTATTTCCGCAGAACCAGCAGCATTTTCAGCATTTATGAGTAAAATTTTTCGACCCCTCATTCTCAGTAAAAACGTCATAACATATTTAGACGATGTTTTCATGCAATCACAAACAAAACACGAAATGCTTAAGTATTGGATAAATACCACCAAATACTATTTAAAGAAAACATGAAAGCAGCCCCAGGCACATCACATTTTTTCCTCAATCGTGTAAAAGTCTTTGGACATATTAATGAAGGAAATACAATCACTCCATTAAAGCCTCGCATAGATGCAATCATAAAACTTCAACCTCCATCAAATAAAAAGAAAATCCAAGAATTTTTTGGTATGCTAAACTTCTTAAGTAATTACGTTTTTAAAATCCAATTATATTTAAGATCATTTTATAACATTCTCAGACAACAAAGTAACTTTGAACGGACAACAGAACATCAAAAACGATTTGAAGAAATAAAAATACTCCTCACTGAACAAATATCAAACACTTTTCCAGACACTTTTCCAGTACTTCGGCAAACTCAAGACTATATACATAAGCTGAGCTTAGACTCTCTACAATCATGAGAGAATGCAGAGCTATAATATAAAATGAATTTTTAGACAGAATACGAAGTTTCAATACTCGGATCAAAAGATTCAACATTTCTATTTACAAATCATAAACCTATATTTTTTTTATATTTACACAAAATCAAATCTAAACCACAGAGTTTATAGATTTCAATTAATTCTACAAAAATTCCCATATAAATTGGATTCAGGAAAAAATTTTGCATTGGCAGGCACACTCAGTAAGTTTTTTCTTGCAAAAGACGAAACCTGGCCACTATTAGAATGCAAATTTGTTCTAAAAACTGACGTTCATAATGCACAAATAAATAATTTACAACACTCTCGGTTATTTGTAGATTGCCAAAAAAATCACTGTGAAGTAGACTTATTAAGAAGCATTTAAACCGATACCATATTCATCATGGATCAAAAAGAATAACACAACAAAAACCACCTAAACAAAAAAGGTATAGGACAGGCCTATTCCCCTGAATAGAAAAAGAAAACTTAACTGATAAAACGAAATTATCAGGACCTCCAGATATCGATTCAAAATACAAAATAAATCAAGTTTTTAACCTACCTGACCCCCTAATTAACATACCTCTTTCAAAAACAGAAAATGAAAATATCTTTCTACCAGCCAAAGAAAAAGTGACACTTGAGCTACTACAAAAGTACCAAAACCTTGACCCAGTCATTAGACAACTTAAATCTTGGCACAATTATGAAACAAAACCCATAAGAGCAGATATCAAAATTCTAGGAAACAAAACACTTCTTAGATACTTCAGAAAATTTTATATTACATCTATAAACGAAAATACCAATTTTTTAGAACACCAAACACTTAAATTAAAAGTAAACTGTTTACCAATAAGCATGATACTCCTGGAATTTCCGATTTCCAATTCCTTAAATACAAAAGGACATGCGGTATCAGAAAAAACAAACCGAAATTTTATCCAAAATTTTTACTTTCCAAATGCACTGATTTGGATCAAAGTATTATGTAACAATCCAACATGCCAGTTACATAAACCATACCCTCATTAGAAACAAATAGCAGAAAAACAAGATTTTATTAGACAAAGATTAATTTTCAACCGCAGAATCTCATTTGATACAAAAGGATCGATATCACCCTCTTCAGAATGAAACTTATATATATTGGTTATATTTGATGCATTTACACACTATGTGGCACTCAACCCATTACCTCATTGTAATGCCTATTTTGCATATACAACACTTTACGAACACTGGATAGCAAAATTTGGATTACCAGAAATCCTTTTAATGGCACTGAAATCATAAATAAAGAAATCGTCGCAATATGCCAACTATACAACATTAAACATAAACCACGAACGTCTCATACCCCATGGACTAATGGTTTAGTCGAAGGAATTAACCGTTCACCACATGAGTACCTCAGATGTATCATAAATGGAAATGACTCTAAACACACTGAATGGTCAACAGATGTAAAAATATTCCCCTTAGCTTATAATTCACAGATAACAATAACCTTAGGACTATCACCTTATGAAAGGGTTTGTCATCAAATCCACTTAAGCCAATAATGATCACAGCAATTTCCTCAAAACACACACAATGTTTTTTCCTCAAAAACACACCAACCGACAAAAGAATCAATTTGTTATAATTTACCATTGCACACACACGATGAAGATCATTTTCATCACCCACACATCTTAAAATTACCACGTAAACCTATAATTTTTACAGCAAAATCCTCAAAAATCACACAAGGTTATTGCCAACCTACAAGAGAATCAATTTGTTATAATTTACCATTACACACGCACGATCAAGATCATTTTCATCACCAAGTCTTCAAATTATTACGAAGACAGAATGTTCAATCACAAATAAAATTACGATTCACACCAGCTACAAACCTAAAATCCGGAACGTTTGTTCTAATACCAAATTTTGTAACACAATAAGAAATATCCAAAAAATTACAACCAATCCGAAAAGGACCATTTCAAATTATTGACAAACCCACTGATGTAACATATAAACTTATTGATTCAAATAAAAAGGAAACAGTTCAACAGAGAAACTTCGGTGTTGTGTTACCAAAATACTAAAAGCTGACAACCACCGATTTAGTTAACAAATGTTTTGAAATTTGTTCATGGATTCCGCTGACAATGGTTAAGTCCGTGCCTTTAAATTCCGCATTGCTATAGATAAGAATTCCAGCTGTAGCTTTCAATTGTTCATATGCAAGTTAAGTAATAGACAAAATTCTCATACAGTCCACATACAGATTGTCCACATACAGATTGCGGAATCCGCTGACATTTGCGGATTCCGCTCACAAATTTTGCGGATTCCACTTTTATTTGCGGATTCCACTTACATTTTGTGGAATCCACTTACAGTTGCGGAATCCAGATCAACTAGCTATATTCGCTTGTTGCCGACAAAATTTACGTTACAGGTATTTGTAAGTGGAATCCACGGAAATTTTGTAAGTAGAATCCACTGACATTTTGGAACATGTTCAAAGGTTTGTCTATGGAATCCAGGAACATACAGATACAAAATTGTGCGCCTATCGAGTGCACAGTTTGGCCTCGTAATGTGGCCTTTGGTACTCTTTTCTACAAATCCTAAAAGCTTTCCACCATATGTTAAATGAGTTCAACGGGTTAAGCACAGTCTGAATCACAAATTTATACGAAGAAATTGTTTTGAGCATATAGATATATAATCGATTATGGGACTAAAAATACAACTAAAAACTGTTTTCCTCAACTTTGGATATATAAAAGGTATTGAAAAATGCTTATTATACGGTTTCCTCACATGGAAATTGAGGATATATTTTAAAGTTTTCTGTGCAAAAATATTAATCAAGCGAGCCAAAAGTTCTGTACAAAAATGCTAACCAAGCGAGCCATAAGACTCCCAGTCAGTTTGCAATGCCGCCCCTGATACAACTGAGTAAGTGCGGTCACTCTTGTTGATAGCCAGAAAGCACTTGTCAACAACGAGTCTCCCTTTCTGGAATGTGCGCGTTGAAGTTCCGAGTGGCTGTTTGTGTGCATAATTACTACCACCCCAGTGCGAAATAGCTGGTGACGACGATGGTAAGTTCATGAATGTCTTCGTGGCAGCCCCATTTTGTCCCCACTCGCAAAACACATTAAGTGGGTATCCACGAACTGTGATATTGTAATTCATATTTGAAGCAGCTGAAACAGTCAAATTAATAATCATAAAACAATACCGATCATACGAATAGGAAAAAAAAACAAAAACAATTGTAGTAGTTGGTCAAAAAAAAATTATAAGCTTTTGGCTCATAATTTCGAATTCATTCTAAGGCTGTTTTTGGACTTCCAATACAAACAGTTGGCGTTGTTTTTTTTTGAGGTGTTTGCAGGCGTTGCTTTTTTTTTACTTGTATCAAAGTAATTTTTTAATTTGATTTTTCAATTTTTCTACTTCATTTTTTCATGCATTGTCTTCCTTAATGTATTTTTCTATAGCAAGTGTTGCGATAAACTACTTCCCCTCTTTGTAATAAAGCTAGATCATAAAGTTCGGTTTGAAACATCTCCAAAATCGGGCAAACATGTCATAAGTTTTCACCTCTTGAGATGAAAGACAAAAAGAGCATATGTTACTTGCTGGATTGAGATCTCCTTTTTTTTAGCCCAATCGTAATGAAAATGCAGTTTTTTAATTAAGAAGGCTATAATTTGGAGCGTCGCGACAACTGGAAGCAGGCGACAACTTGGAGCAAGCGACAACTGGGAGAAAGCGACAACTTGGAGCAAGCGACAACTGCGAGAAAGCGACAACTGAGAGCAAGCGACAACTTGGAGCAAGCGACAACTGCGAGAAAGCTACAACTGGGAGAAAGCGACAACTTGGAGCAAGCGACAACTGCGAGAAAGCGACAACTGAGAGCAAGCGACAACGGGGAGCATGCTACAACTGGGAGCAAGCGACAACTAGGAGCAAGCGACAACTGGGAGCAAGCGACAATTGACAGCAAGCGACAATTGGGAGCCAGCGACAATTGGGAGCAAGCGACAATTGGGAGCAAGCGACAATTGGGAACAAGCGACATTTGGGAGCAAGCGACAATTGGCAGCAAGCGACAATTGGGAGCCAGCGACAAATGGGAGCAAGCGACAATTGGGAGCGTGTCAATTGTAGGAGCAAGCGACAACTGAGAGCAGGCGGCAATTGGGAGCAAACGACCTGGGGGAGCAAGCAACAATTGGGAACAAGCGAAAATAGGTGGCAACCGACAATTGGGAGCAAGAGACAACTGGGAGCAAGTGAAAACTGGTAGCAAGCGACAATTGGAAGCAAACAACAATTGGAACAAGCGACAATTGGGAGCAAGCGACAACTGGAAGCAAGCGACAATTGGGAGCAAGCGACATTTGAGAGAAAGAGGCAATTGGGAGTAAGTTGGGAGCAAGCGAAAATTGGGAGAAAACAACAATTGGATGAAAGCGACCATTGCAAGCAAGCGACAACTGGCAGCAAGCGAAAATTGGGAGCCAGAGACAATTGGGAGCAAGCGACAAATGGGAGCATGCGACATCTGGGAGCAAGCGACAATTGGGAGCAAGCCACAATTGGGAGCAACCGATAATTGGAAGAAAGCGACCATTGGGAGCGTGTCACATGTAGGAGCAAGCAACATCTGAGAGAAAGAGACAATTGGGAGCAAGTTGGGAGCCAGAGACAGTTAGGAGCAACCAACAATTGGTAGCAAGCGACAATTGGGAGCGAACGACAATTGGAGCAAGCGACAATTGGGAGCAAGCGACAACTGGGAGCAAGCGAAATTGGGAGCAAGCGACAATTGGGAGCAAGCGACATTTGGGAGCAAGCGACAATTGGGAGCAACCGATAATTGGAAGAAAGCGACAATTGGTAGCGTGCCACATGTAGGAGCAAGCGACAACTGATAGCAAGCGGCAGTTGGGAGCAAACGACTATGGGGAGCAAGCGACAATTGGGAGCAAACGACATTTAAGAAAACTGGAAGCAAACAACAATTGAGAGCCAGAGACATTTGGGAGCAAGCGACAAGTGGGGCAAGCGAAAATTGGGAACCAGCGACAATTGGCAGCAAGCGACAATTGGGAGCAAGCGACATTTGGGAGCAAGCGAAAATTGGGAGCAAGCGACAATTGGGAGCAAGCGACAATTGGGAGCAAGCGATTATTGGAAGAAAGCGACAATTGGGAGCGCGTCATATGTAGGAGCAAGCGATAATTGAGAGAAAGCGGCAATTGGGATCAAGCGACATTTGGGAGCAAGCGACAATTGGGAGCAAGCGACATTTGGGAACAAGCGACAATTTGGAGCAAGCGAAAATTGGGAGCAAGCGACATTTGGGAGCAAGCAATAATTGAGAGCAAGCAAAAATTGGGAACCAGCGACAATTGGGAGCAAGCGACAACTGGGAGCAAGCGACAACTGGGAGCAAGCGACAATTGGGAGCCAGCGACAATTGGGAGCAAGCGAAAATTGGGAACCAGCGAAAATTGGGAGCAAGCGACAACTGGGAGCAAGTGACAACTGCGAGCAAGCGACAATTGGCAGCCAGCGACAATTGGGAGCAAGCTACATTTGGGAGCAAGCGACAATTGGGAGCAAGCGACATTTGGGAGCAAGCGACAATTGGGAGCAACCGATAATTGGAAAAAAGCGAAAATTGATAGCGTGTCACATGTAGGAGCAAGCGACAACTGAGAGCAAGCGATAATTGGGAGCAAGCGACAATTGGGAGCTAGCGACATTTAAGAAAACTGGAAGCAAACAACAATTGAGAGGCAGAGACAATTGGGAGCAAGCGACAACGGGGAGCAAGCGACAATTGGGAGCCAGCGACAATTGGGAGCAAGCGACATTTGGGAGCAAGCGACATTTGGGAGCAAGCGACAATTGGGAGCAAGCGAAAATTGGGAGCCAGCGACAATTGGGAGCAAGCGACAATTGGGAGCAAGCGACAACTGGGAGCAAGCGACAACTGGGAGCAAGCGACAATTGGCAGCCAGCGACAATTGGGAGAAAACAACAATTGGATGCAAGCGACCATTGCAAGCAAGCGACAACTGGCAGCAAGCGAAAACTGGGAGCCAGAGACAATTGGGAGCAAGCGACAAATGGGAGCATGCGACATTTGGGAGCAAGCGACAATTGGGAGCAAGCCACAATTGGGAGCAACCGATAATTGGAAGAAAGCGACCATTGGGAGCGTGTCACATGTAGGAGCAAGCAACATCTGAGAGAAAGAGACAATTGGGAGCAACTTGGGAGCCAGAGACAATTAGGAGCAACCAACAATTGGTAGCAAGCGACAATTGGGAGCGAACGACAATTGGAGCAAGCGACAATTGGGAGCAAGCGACAACTGGGAGCAAGCGGCAGTTGGGAGCAAACGACTATGGGGAGCAAGCGACAATTGGGAGCAAACGACATTTAAGAAAACTAGAAGCAAACAACAATTGAGAGCCAGAGACATTTGGGAGCAAGCGACAAGTGGGGCAAGCAAAAATTGGGAACCAGCGTAAATTGGCAGCAAGCGACAATTGGGAGCCAGCGACAATTGGGAGCAAGCGACTTTTGGGAGCAAGCGAAAATTGGGAGCAAGCGACAATTGGGAGCAAGCGACAATTGGGAGCAAGCGATTATTGGAAGAAAGCGACAATTGGGAGCGCTTCACATGTAGGAGCAAGCGATAATTGAGAGTAAGCGGCAATTGGGATCAAGCGACATTTGGGAGCAAGCGACAATTGGGAGCAAGCGACATTTGGGAACAAGCGACAATTTGGAGCAAGCGAAAATTGGGAGCAAGCGACATTTGGGAGCAAGCAACAATTGAGAGCAAGCAAAAATTGGGAACCAGTGACAATTGGGAGCAAGCGACAACTGGGAGCAAACGACAACTGGGAGCAAGCGACAATTGGGAGCCAGCGACAATTGGGAGCAAGCGAAAATTGGGAACCAGCGACAATTGGGAGCAAGCGACAACTGGGAGCAAGTGACAACTGCGAGCAAGCGACAATTGGCAGCCAGCGACAATTGGCAGCCAGCGACAATTGGGAGCAAGCTACATTTGGGAGCAAGCGGCAATTGGGAGCAAGCGACATTTGGGAGCAAGCGACAATTGTGAGCAACCGATAATTGGAAGAAAGCGAAAATTGATAGCGTGTCACATGTAGGAGCAAGCGACAACTGAGAGCAAGCGACAATTGGGAGCAAGCGACAATTGGGAGCAAGCGACATTTAAGAAAACTGGAAGCAAACAACAATTGAGAGGCAGAGACAATTGGGAGCAAGCGACAACTGGGAGCAAGCGACAATTGGGAGCCAGCGACAATTGGGAGCAAGCGACAATTGGGAGCAAGCGACATTTGGGAGCAAGCGACATTTGGGAGCAAGCGACAATTGGGAGCAAGAGAAAATTGGGAGCCAGCGACAATTGGGAGCAAGCGACAATTGGGAGCAAGCGACAACTGGGAGCAAGCGACAATTGGCAGCCAGCGACAATTGGGAGCAAGCGACATTTGGGAGCCAGCGACAATTGGAAGCAAGCGACAATTGGGAGCAAGCGACAACTGGGAGCAAGCGACAACTGGGAGCAAGCGACAATTGGCAGCCAGCGACAATTGGGAGAAAACAACAATTGGATGCAAGCGACCATTGCAAGCAAGCGACAACTGGCAGCAAGCGAAAATTGGGAGCCAGAGACAATTGGGAGCAAGCGACAAATGGGAGCATGCGACATTTGGGAGCAAGCGACAACTGAGAGCAAGCGACAATTGGGAGCAAGCGACAATTGGGAGCTAGCGACATTTAAGAAAACTGGAAGCAAACAACAATTGAGAGGCAGAGACAATTGGGAGCAAGCGACAACTGGGAGCAAGCGACAATTGGGAGCCAGCGACAATTTGGAGCAAGCGACATTTGGGAGCAAGCGACAATTGGGAGCAAGCGAAAATTGGGAGCCAGCGACAATTGGGAGCAAGCGACAATTGGGAGCAAGCGACAACTGGGAGCAAGCGACAACTGGGAGCAAGCGACAACTGGGAGCAAGCGACAACTGGGAGCAAGCGACAATTGGCAGCCAGCGACAATTGGGAGAAAACAACAATTGGATGCAAGCGACCATTGCAAGCAAGCGACAACTGGCAGCAAGCGAAAATTGGGAGCCAGAGAC